TGGAGGTCATTCTCTTACGGAATAGCATGCATTTATTATCAAGACATGGATGCTGTTGGAGGCTTTGACACAAGCATTAGAGGCTGGGGAATGGAAGACGTGGATCTGTTTGCGAAGTTTGTAGATCATCCAGAGATTGAGGTGTTTCGCGCACCTGATCCCGGTGTAATACATGTTTATCACAGAAAAACTTGCGATCCAAATCTCTCCGTTACACAACACACTGCGTGTCAAGGCTCTAAAGCCTCCATATCGGCATCTCAGAAATCATTAGTCAGAGCTTTGCTTTCTACTCAGAATGCAAACGACTAAAGTTTGTTAACAGTAATGTACCCGGGTAATTATACCGGGGTACTTCTCAAAGTGACTCCATCATGAGACAAACGAGTGAAAAATTCATCTATCCTTCAAAATAATTGATTCAAATGTGATGGACAGGGCAAACGTCACAAAAATACATACTCCCCTATCTGCCAAACGCCATTTCCCCCGCCCCCTTGCGAGAATGCGCGGTACAAAGGCAATTTCGCGACCGGGAATGGCGAGCTATCGAAGGTCATTGCTGACATCAAGACCGCTGCTCAAGACTGCTGCTAGAGTCCTAGCAGGAAGTATATCCATGTAAGGCCCAGTTCATACGTCGCATTTCTGCCGTGTCGAATTCAATTCAATTAAGTGCGGCAGAAATGCGACTGTTTATTCATACGTCGCACTTGTGTCGCACTTAATTCAGAATTTATATTGTCGGGTATGTCGGCCAGCGGAAAATGTTTTAAGCATAGAGTATTCAGTATGGCGGACGAAAATACTGAGCGACGAAGGACTTTAATTTTGCTAAAAACTGTCCGCCAATGGAAAGAGAAGGAGAAGGCTGACGACGGAGCAGTATGTGTTGCAATATGTTCAGGTTGCATTGGGTCGAGAATGGCCAAATTTCTTCTTTTTCTTTGGCGGGAACACATTTACGCATGCTCATTACATTAACATAATGTGTGCATTAGATTCGACACGGCAGAAATTCGACGTCTGAATCGGTGTCGCATTTCTGTCGGATAATGCGACAAGACCAGTCGAACGTGCCGCA